CGTGGTTTTAGTGCTGGGGTTAGTGCAGCAGAAACATAAAACAAGCTTGAGGGAGAGTATGTAAGAAAACAGATTTAACAGAGGCGATGTGATTTTCTTTAGACATTTTTTGGATTAGAAGAAAATTAGGCAAAACGCTGAAGAAAGAAAGCCTTTGAACAATATGGGGATCGTTTGTTTTAATTAGCTAAGCCAAATTGTATTTCTTTCTTCAGTATATGACAAAGTTGCAGTTTTCTCTGAGGGTGTTATGCTGATGTAGTCAATTCTTAAAAAATATTAAGCCAAAATAAAAAACTTAAACTGGCAAAAAAAGTTTCTGAAATTGTTTGAAACTTTCTTGATAGGGCAGCTCAATAAACTGTATAGAAAGCAGGCGATACTTCGAAGAATAGTTTTGCACAACTGAGCCCGCACCGAGCCACAAGGTAGTACTATTATGTGTGATATGCCTACTAACAACACCGAAAAACATCGCTCCCCCACCAAAAAAGTAGTACCAACTGCCAATATCTTCCCCAAATAAAAAGTCAGGTGTTGAAAACATGCAGCTTTAAATTTCTGCACTTACCCCGTTACAACGGGCGCCATCTTCCGAATAACTCTCCCCCCCGGAAAAAAAAATTAAAAAAAAAAAAAGTCCCAACAATCGCGAGATCCCTCCCCCCAGTTCCCTGACCAAAGCCAACGGCACAACAGAAGAAGAAGCAGACTGGAAGGAAAAGAAGGGAAAGAAACAGAGAGGGAAGGGAGGGAGGGGAGCGTGACGGGGCAAAAGGGGGTGAGAAGAGGGCGAGGGAGGGGCGACGGGCAGAGGGCAGACGCCACAACAACAGGCGTGGGAAAGTTGCAACATCGCGCGAGAACGGAAAAACTCTCATAATACACACGCATGAAGGAAGGGTAGTTTTATCGCGAGATCTAGCGCCTTCACAACTCGCTGTTTTTTTTCCCACAGGGCGCGCGCGCTGTAACTCGATTCCCACGCTTATTGAGCAACGAAGCAGGCTGCACCTTTCTGTGCTGAGGAGCTAGAAACACGGCCACGGGATAGATATGTGTTATATGAACTACAGCACTGGAAATATATGGGAGAGTGGAAGATTAAAGCACAGACCTTAATTGGGAAGAGTGGAGAATCAGAGTGAATGCAGATGCTTCCACAGAGCCTGTTACAAGTAAAAGAGGCCAAGAGGGAATATCTACAATAACGTAGTCTAGGGTCAAAGATTGCTTAACCGGCTTGTGTTGTAATAGCGAGTAAGGCAGCTGGATTTAGATATATGGGATACATCACCACATTTAAATTATGATTCTCAGGCACACTGTGTAAAGTGTCAGGAAAAACGGAAGAGTAGCTCTTCCTCAGTTACATCTTAATGCAGGATCATTAATAGAATAATATAGATTTTAGTAGATTGGCAGCGCATCATTACAAAAGATGAGTTCACATGTGGGAGATCAGTGGTGGATGTGGAAAAAGGAGAGCAAATGCATTTGAGAATCAGAATACTGTATTAACCCCTAAGGAAATTATGTGGTTAGTGTTGCTCCAAGACAACAAGAACAGTAACAGACTGAACTAAATTAAATAATGCAATATATTACAAAGTTACAAAATATAAGAAATAGCTGTAATATATACAAAGAGCTCAATAATAAATATCCAGAATATTACACAGATAAAATATAGATGACTGACATTTTACTCTAAATTGTAAAACCGTGTTGTTTTCAATGTAGAGGATATGTAAAAGGTTGTAACTATTGCAGTGTGTACTGTGCAGGTTGTACAGGGAGGAATGATTTGTCGTGCAGTGGTGCATTGGGGTAATCCCAGTCTCTCACTGAACGTGCTCTTGTGACTGCCCAGCACATCATGCCCTGGGTGGGAGGTCCTCATGATGTTGTCCTTATCTTGGACAACATCCGCCTCTCTGATACCACCTTAAGGGAATACAGCTCCACCATGGAAACATTACTGGCCTTGTGGATTAGTTTATTGAATCTGTTAGCATCTGCAACCCTCAACCTGCTGCCCCAGTATGCAACAGCATAGAGGATGGCACTGGCCACAACAGACTCACAGAAAATCCCGAGCATTGTCCTGACAGATATTGAAAGACCTCAGCCACCTCAGAAAATAGAGAAGACTCTGGCGCTTTCTGTAGAGTGCAGTGGTGTTTTAACCTAGTCCAATTTATTATCTATGTGTTTCATAGATCAAGACAACCACACAGGCCTCAGTGCTGAACCCATTCAATGACAACATCTGTTGGCTCCGTTACACTGTTACTGCCCTTGTTTGGGTCTACTTCTTCTCTTAGAAAGAGGGCACACTTCAAATAAATACATCACTGTACCAATTACTTGACTTTTTGCCACTATTGAAATAAAGAGAATCAGGTATTAAAACAAATACTGGCACCCTCATCCTCCTATTAGATGCACATGTGGTATAAATTTGAAAATCCCAAATGATTTTCAAAAAAGATGACCTCTGAATTTGAGGTCAATGTCACTGGGATTCAAACCTATCCAAGATTTAATCTGTTTAAAAGTCCTACGTTCACTTGGTTATTGAGTTGTTGCATTCAGAAACTTGGGTGTCCATGTCACATGCCTGCTTGCCCAATGACATCAGCCTTTTACAGCTGAGGGGTAAAAATGACCATCTGAGAGAAATTTCATCTCCTCCTCATCACCACTGTAACACCAAATGAGGGAATATCTTTCAGAAGAATGGCTCCCAAGTAGAGTTTTAGGACCTGTAGCATTAAAGCTGCTCTAGTGCCATGTGGTGGATACCCACTGTTGTTTTTTCTTTTGTGACATGTCACTGTGTTGCTACACAAATCCCCCATGACATTTTTTTGTTTAGAATGCTTTCACATATAGAAAAGAATTTACCACATTATAGGAAATGAATCTCAAACTATTTTTTATTTAAAATATAGATTTTATTATATAAATGTATTTTCAAATAGTGTATATAAAAAAATTAGATAAAAGTTTATTGAAGTAAATGTCATGAAATAGAAATGGTGACAGTACTACATGAGCAGCCCCCCCCCAAAAAATAATATCCACAGCATCTGTATATTCTATAGACTGAACAGATGATTCTGCAAAAACAGGTGGTAAATGTTTTATCAACTACCAATCGTAACAGCGAGCACATTTACCCAGTACGGTGGGAGTAATGGGAACAGTCTTATGATAAGACTCCATCAAATATATTTATGGTGCTTTTTCAGATTACTGTGTAAGGGAAAAAAGCACATTTGGCAAAACAACAGCAAAAAATTTGGGGAGCATTAAACTAAAGATGATAAAAAAAAAAAAAAAATGCACATGCAACACTAACACACAAAAAAATAGCAGCACTGTGGCTTCTGTTTTTTGAAGACCATAAAAAACAAACAACAAAAAAAAACAAAACGTGCTGCTTCCACATGAAACCAAATACATAACATTGCTAACATGCCCTCCTTTAACTCCCCTGAACATTTGCAGCTTATTTAATCTGACAGGTTATCTTAAATGTAATAGAGAAATGGAAATCAGAACAGTTTGGAGGTTTTTCTCGTGTCTTGTTTGTTGTGTCATGTTTGGTTGGTTGGTTGCTCAGTTACCCACATCGATTGTGAGATGTACATAAAATAGGAGCACAGTGAAGCCAGCAGTTATTCATTATATTCGCAAAACAGAATGGAGCGATGAACATGAGCATTTCCATTTTAGCTAGTGCTACGCTCTGAGCAGCACAGACACTACGTGCTGGGTGGGGGTATGGGATATATGAAGCATCTACTTATGATATCCCCCTCATTTGAACACCAATTCCATCTTAAAATGTAGAGCAGAAAAAAAAATATTGAAAGATTACAGTGAATTGTTGATAAATGTTTTGCCTTTAGCGTCCACCTGATAAAAAGCAAAAAACCCAAAAACCTAACGTCAGCCTTCAGGGTAACACCACAGCACTTCACATGACAACAGAGAAGTCAATAGGGCCTGTTAAAGAAATACTGCAACACCCTGCCATTTAAGATGTGCTGGTATAACAAAAATAGTTTATTTAAAGCTACTTTGGGCTGCTTCCTTATTCACAAGAGGTTACCATAGTGGTAGCTCCGCATATTTGATTTGGCACATTTTTACACTGGATGCCCTTCCTTATGCAACCCCCATTATACTTGTGTCTCCTGCTGGGATTCAACCAGGGATCTTTTGCTTTGTAGGTGGATGTGTAAACTACTACACATTAAAGATAGTGTATTTACAATCCAAACTATTCTTCAACTCTTTTCTTTCCTGAATCACTAAGGATAACTTTGCTGGTGCATAACTGAACAAACTGTTTATGGTAGGGCTGTGCGATATGACCAAAATCTCATATCCCGATATAAGACATCTATCGTCCCGATAATGATATAAATCACAAAAAAAAAAAAAGAAAAGAAAAAAAGAATCACAAAAATTTAACATTTTCTGTAAATTCTGTGAATCTCGACTTGCGTGAAGTGTTTCCGGCTGGGCGTCTTGTACCTGGAGTCGAGTGTTTTAACCGATGCATGAAACGATACATTTTTAGACATAAGTTGTAACGGCCGCCGTTTTCTTTGTGAGTATTTCTTACACAGCGTGCTGCAGGGAAAAGCCTGTTCTAACGTTTGAGTCTAAGGTTTATTTTTTAGCACCTGACGGCTCTTTTTTGCTTCTCATCCGTAAACACTCTGCATACTTTCACGTAATTCAGTTTAAGTCTCAACAGGATCTTGAGCTTTATTGTGAAAGGTTTATGTGGAAAATAAACAAGCTGCTAACAACAACGCATAAAAACAGGTGCTTGTCCGTCTGTAGTGTGGTTATATTAAATATAAGATAAAGAAAGAACTTTAAGAAATTAATATAGCCACTACAGTGACCATCAAAACCATAAAAAAAATATTGCCGTAAACAGTTTATTTTGTGACACCACGAAACAAACGATAGCGTAAAATGAAACGATAGACGTTTTTATATCGTCAATCGATATATATCGTTATATCGAACAGCCCTAGTTTATGGTGCCATAAGGTCATAACAGAAATTTTTAAAAAAATGTAAAAAGAAAGAAAGGGTAAATAACCTAACAGAATAGCTATGTGATGAAAGAAACCCCATACATGATCAGAGACAGAGATTCATATAATTATAATATAACCTTGACATAATTAATCTGCATTCTGTGTCCAACCAAATGCATTCTTGTTGTGTCTCCAGCATCTATGATGTAAACAATGTCCTGTGCTTTTGCTGTCCTGTGTTTAAATTTTCCAGAAAATCTTCTTTTTGTAAAGCAAATAGGAGATGATGACCCAACAGGAAGTGGCCACAAGGTTCTGAATGAGATGCTCAGCATGGGATTGGCTGTTGGACATGCGCCAGCGGAAGGGAAAGTAGTCTTCAAACACTTCGTGGCCTACGTACACAAGTATGGAGTTCATACCTTAATGAAACACACAAGAGAGAGTGAAGTAGAGGACACAATGACTACACAGAAATTCACAAGGAAAATAAATATTTGGCAGATTATATTTCCAGTTACAAGACGGACCATACTAATTCACACTGTGACAAAGCAGACTTCCACAGTCACATCAAACCCCAAAAGTACAACTGTAACAATCAAAAGCTGTCTTAGGCAAAAACTGTCTATTAAGCTTTTGTGTGATTCTAATGCTCACCAGGATAGTAGAAAGGTGCCCCTGACCACCACTTATTTACATCCACTATGTAGTAGATCAGCATTAGGAGCACAAAGGCAAAGCAGGCCAGTGTTGTCACGTAAGACAGAGACCTAGAAGTGAAACATTAAGACATTTTTAAAAAAAAACATTTATATGCTGTTCAGCATCGGGGTGCTTGTGTCAATGTCAATGTCCATCTCTGTCTGCCTCTGGCTCCTGGGGGTCGTTATTGCAGCTTTCCACCCTCATTTTATGACAAAGACTATTTGTACTCCATCCTTTTATTATGTCTCCCCCCATTCGTTTCCCACCTGCCTGTCCAGCCTTAGTCATTGTCATACTGTATACCACATATAATGTAATAAATGAAATAATCGTGGCTCAAGAGTTGGGAGTTTGCCTTGTAACCGGAAGGTTGCCGGTTCGAGCTCCGGCTTGGACAGTCTCGGTTGTTGTGTCCTTGGGCAAGACACTTCACGTACCGCCTACTGGTGTTGGCCAGAGGGGCCGATGGTGCAAGCCTCGCTTCTGTCAGTCAGTGGCTACAACTGTAGCTTGCCTCCACCAGTGTGTGAATGTGTGTGTGAATGGGTGGATGACTGGGTGTGTAAAGTGCTTTGAGGTCCCTAGGCGGGACTAGTAAAAGCGCTATACAAATACAGGCCATTTACCATTTATAACACGAATACAAAGGCAGAAATAAACAGATAAACCCTGAACAAGAGGATCATGTAGATGATTTATAGAGCTGATCCGGGAAAAACAAAATGTTCTTGGCGCAACAGTGGATTCAGATCATAATTCTGATTGCAAAATTGGCCAAACAGGACAGGACTTAAAAAAAGGGGGGGAAAAAAGATATTTATCAGCACTGCACCAGCTGAAGGTCTGCCAATTTTTTTTAACTTAAAATCACATCTAAAAACATGCCGTTTTTCATTCAGTTTATGCACTCCTGGATACCTTTAATGTTTAACTCTCTAATGTAACTATGCATGTCAGAGAGTGTGTAATCTCGATGTTTATAACTATTTATGCATGAGTTTTACTAGTACAGCCCGTTATGTCTAAGGTGATTTTGGGCTATGTAAATAAACTCTATATTGGCTTGATAGACCACTTTAAATATTTGCCAAGGGGATTGCTGTATATTTGATTGGTTTCCATTTTTTATGAGATATTCTACGACTTCTCTTTTGTCTGATTTCACAATCCTGTGGCCACAAAGTTGTGAGAACGTAAGATGCTGGAGTGGAGAGCAAATGTGGAAAACCTAGTCATAACACAAATTATGTGACATTAGGTATTCTATTATATCTGTATAAAATATTTTACGCATTTTAAGTGGGAAAAGACTATAAAATCTAACGTTTGTCAAACTTAAAAATATTACTAGTGCTGCTTATTTTGCAGCAGTTTCCAAAATATTCAATTAGAATTTCCCAAAGTGCCCATTGCTTGAGTAAATGTAGTTCTAACTGTAGATATAAATAAAACATGGCCCTTACCACAAGTTTTTGTTGACAGGAATGAAACCCTGGTCTGTGGAACATTTGGTTAGAAATGCTGATACGACACCCTGAATGACAGAAGACATTTTATTATTCAATCATGAACGCAAAAATCACCGTGTGTGTGTGTGTGTGTGTGTGTGTGTGTGTGTGTGTGTGTGTGTGTGTATGTATGTATATATATATATATATATATCATGAAACTTATTTGTAGTTGTGGTTGCTTGTTTTCCTTTTTTTTGCTTTGTCTCTTTTTAATTCTATGTTGTTGTACTTTTTCAACATGTTCAAAATAAAGATTCAATTAATCAATCAAAACAATGTGCTTACCAGTAAAAGACCCCATATGAGGAACCTCGACATAATACTTTTGGGGCGTTCTCTGTAGTGCAAGATTATTTTCCCTGCCTGAGGACAATTAAAATACAAAAAGAATGAAAGCCAACCATTTACTTCCTTTAACCTTTCCAACAGTTTTATATCTTTATTTGAATAAACAAGAAACAAAAGGAGGCCAACACCAGACAAATATAAATTACAAACCTGTAATCCCAGAAAGGCCATGAGGATAGAGTTGATGCTGCCAAGAACACCTTCTGGATCATACGGTATACGAGTTGCATAAATCACCTGAAATAAAATGTAAACTGATTGATTTTTATCAACATCAGATGCAATCTATCAGTGTTTGCATTATTGGGGTTAACAAGTGTGTACGTGCCCATCGGAGAGAAATCTGACACATTAAAATAACCTTAACATTTCAAGTTACAAAAAGCCTATCATGAAGCTATAATTTGGGATGTTTTGGTGGTTACAAACCCTTGATGATGGATTCTGGTACATGTGCTTTTCTCCCAGAAGCAAGCGGTCAATGAAACCAGCAGCTCCACCGGTGCAGTTCAAATACAGCCCCATGTCCCCAATCCCACCTGGACCCAGATAACCTCTGTACCAAAGAAATGAGTGTAATCAGTGTTGTTAATGTAGCACTGCACCAAGAGGAAGGTTAGAAATTCCAGTTTATTAGCGCTTACTGCTAAAAGTTAAATTACTGCAAAAACTTACGCAACATAATGAAGCACTACACTTCACTGTCTTTGACTTACGTTGGGCAGTCTGGCACAGGAAGTTGAAATGTGAGGAAGAGCCAGAGTACTTCTAGAAGAATCACACACAGCCAGGCTGGCCAATACAGCAAGAAATCAATAGCTGGGGACCACCACGCATCCTGGAAAATAAAACCCACTCCATTAAACACATCTCCTTTCCTTAAACACAAATTTAACATAAACCTATTTAGCACAAAACAACACAGACTGTTAAACAATGCAGATGAAAAAAACAAACAAAAAAAAACAAGGCTGACCAGTGTGAGGACGTCAAGTTGTCCTCTGGCCACCAGTAAATCCAAGCAAGCTACGACCAGATATGACCAGGCGAGGCGCTGCAACACACCCGGGATCCGCAGGTTTTCCCAAGCCACTGTGGAGAAGATGTAAACACGCAATAAAAATGCAAATAAAAATAAATAACCACATAAGTTCAAAGTTTGAAACAGTATTATAGTATATGGTTTAATCATCCACCTAAAGAGCTTGGAATACTGCTGTAAAGATGGAGTTCATACTTACACGCTCCCTGGCAGTAGTTTGGGTTGATGACTAGGACACCAATGATGAAGAGCTGCAAGCTCCGCCACACAGCTTTTCTGAGCAATGAGCAACGGGTCGCGCCTGCACGCAGCAAGGCATTAATGGAGAGTGCGATGGATGTGCCCATTATGAACACAAACCTGGTGGAAGAAGGGACAAAATGAGTGCTGGTTCTACACTTAAAAGATTTGCTGAGGGAACAAATGGAACTTTATTATTTCTATTTTTTTATTCATTCTGTTTGATTTTTAAGCCCCTTTTAGTCCAGTGACCACTTTAAAGAAAACACCCTTTATTTCTTGTGCACATTCAACTATGTAACTGGACCAGAATTTGTTAATGGTCCCTGTAATCCTTCTGAAGATAATTCTGTCACTATTACAAAATAAAAATACACATTAATATAAATACTGCACATTTATATTAACATGTGAGTACAAATAAAGACAATCCAACTGCATATAAGACAACTTTTTATAAGAATCTTTAAATTAAGCTTACCAAGGGAAGACTAGGTCAGCAACAGTAAGGCCTGCAAGATGAGAAATGGGGAAGGCCTGGTTTAAAATCAACAACATTGCAAATACCAAGGAGAGCTGCAAAGATATGTAAATAATGAGGAAACTGCAACATGGCTAAAAAAAAAAAGCTAAACAAAGAAACCACACTGGGCTTACCATTCCAGCTTTCATGTCTGAAGAACCAGTATCGCCCCCCTCCATAGTTCACAAACACCATAATGACCAAGGAGATACTGACAGAAACACAGAAAATGCCACATTTACTGAAAAGCATCAAGCTAGGAGTACATGTTTATTTATATTAATTGATGAATAAAAATAGGCAAAAATATAAAAACATCAAAGCACTGGATCTAGATTTAATACTGCCGGTGGTGGTTGATTAATAAGGGACAAATTCAGTGTCACCTACCACACTGTAATAAAAAAAACAAACAAACATATGATACAGTATAATAATAAATAAGACAATGAGGACACTAAGCTGGAGGCACAAGAGTGAGGGTGGGGTCAGGAAGCTACCCTCTGAATGTATCCAAAGATCGAAGCCTCTTGCTGCTCGTTAGCGGGGGAGGGAGGATGTTATCAGTGACTGGCGGCACTACCCGAGTGGGGCCCAGTTCCTGGATGATGAAGTCAAAGCTGGATATTAACATAATTCTACTGGAAGTATAGATTTATCACCTGATTTATTATTAAGACAAAAACACACAGGATAGAAGCAGATCAGTAACTGTAAATCTGCTATATTAAAACTATCTGGGTTCTTATTTCATTGTCACTAAAGCATTCATAATTAAACAAGGCCAAACGATTGCAGAACACTCACAGAATTGATGAGTCTCTCTGTTTCCATGGAACTCCCAAGTCGGAGGACCAGACCTCTTACTGCATCAAGCCTGGACAAGAAACAATCAAGATC